CAAGATGGATGTGCTTCCCTGCTACAGTCACACACACACACACACACACACACACACACACACACACACACACACACACACACACACACACACACACACACACACACACACACACACACACACACACACACACACGTCACAGCAGACAAAGAGAAATCTTTCTAAAAAAGACTTTGCTAGATTTGTCCAGTGTTACATCCAATCTAACAAGAATTAACCTGAATCTGTGTAGCGGCGGTTCCTCTGACCAACAACCACACACACAGTCAGAGGTCATATAACATCTCGGTCAGTGGTCTTCAACTGGAAAGCCTGCGGGCCATGTACGGCCCGCCAAGCCTTCCCATCCAGCCCACAGAATTGCCACCAACACAAACATTTCCGGCTTCACTTGTCGCTTGTTAAAAAGCATTTAACAAGTTCACTTTTATTTGTAGTCCTCACAAGAATCCAATGTGTGTCTGTGAGCTTGATGCTTTTACCATTCATTAAAAATGCGTCTACAAAACAACAGTAATTTTCTGCTTTTCTTTTTTACAATTTTTTGGGGGGATTTAACTGCCTTTAATTGCCTTTAATTGATAGTAATAGCTGAAGAGTGAAAGGAAAAAGGGAGAGAGTGGGGGGATGACAGGCAACATGCCGCGCACCTCCATCTTTTAGTTTTACCAGTTACTTTCACTTTCGCTATTCACAGTGTGCCGCATAAAATCAGATCACTGTTGCTCACAGATTGATGGGTTAAAGCCAATTATTGCGTGATCGCTTTATTAAAACCACAATAATTTGTTTTGCTGCCTCAGTATTCTGTGACCTGTAGTATTAAACTGAATTTACCAGCAGTAATCACATGCATAATAATGGTGCAACGTAATAGCATCAAAACCGGTTAAAAATAATTCATATTTCCTGCCAGTCAGGTCTGCGTTCTGTGTTTACGTTTTCGGAATTACAGATTTTAACCATAAGCCTCTAGCAACCCTCTAGCAGACAACCACACTGTTAACGCATGCGCAAAGGGGGAACAACGCCATTGACAGGTGACCGGTGAAACACACTGTTAACTGAATAAAATGAGTCTGAACATTGTTGGAAACATTTGGGATAATGTTAATACACAACTAAACAAAATATATAGCTAGGTATAGTGTTTTTAGACACTTGTTACATATTATAGCTTTAAGTATCTAGTTATCAGCATGGTTTCAATGGTTTTCAGAGTCTCTTCACACTGATAAAGGCTAATAAAATGTAATTCATCCTTTGTAGTCCAGCCCCCAGTGTCTTAGAAAATGTCTGGCCCTTGGATAAACGTAGTTGAATAGCCCTAATCTAGGTGATTATGAATCACAAAATTAGTTCATTTATTTTTTTATTTTCTGGTCTTATTTCGGTAGCTCTGTCCATCACTTCTATAAGTAATAACTACATTGCAGTCACCATAATGTCTGACATCTGGGAACATGGTGATGTCGAGCAGTCGGTGTAAACCACAACATGTTCACTCTTTGTGATTCACCACCACAGGTGCCAAGTAACAACAATATAAAATGTAAATGTAAAGTAAAACTCCTAAATGTAAAAACAAGCACACAAACAGGTGTAATGAGTGTCAGAGCTCCACAGCTGTATGCTAATGTGAATCTGTGTCTGCTACGCTGACAACAGCTGAGCAGCAAAGTGGATCAAAGGTGCCGTTTTACTTTCCAAAGAATGAGGAGGAGATGGCGAGCGAGATGGAAATGAGCAAACTGAGATCTCTGACTGCCTCCTTTATAAAACTTCACAGTGATTATTGCGTGCAGTGTGATCTGAGGTGAGGTGGAGGCACTCCGAGCTGCAGAGAACTAAATGGTTTGTTTTCTAGAATTAAGAGTGAAATAAATGTTAACATAAAGAAAGAAGTGTGTGCTTTATTGTCAGTCGCAATTCTCCGTGGCTGTTGTGAGGTTTGATTTAAAGTTTCCTTCTAGCTCATCGTGTGCAGTCTTATTAGCTGCTGGTTTTCTGTCAAGTTAAAGTTTCAATGGCAAAAGTTGCTACCCAGGATTAACGAATAATAGTGGGAACTGTAATCTCAACAGGTACTGTTCAAAATGTTTAGATACTAGTGCTGATACAATATCTAAGTTACAGTACTGACACCAAAAAGATATTATTTGATACCCAAATGTTAATTGTCTAAACAGAAACAGCCGAATAATAACTGTGCTCAGTTCAGTCTAAAACTGGAAAAATGCAGATTTAAACCAGTCAGATTATGAAGTTGCCCAGATATTTTATGTCAGCTTTCAGTTATTTTCTTTTTCATACTAGGTCAGATATTAGATTCTCAGTCCTAGATTTCATAACTCTCATTTTGATTGCAGTAATCACTGAAAACACAAAGCAAACGACAACCTCAATAATAGAAAATAATAATATTCCTAATAAATAATATAAGCCACATCCAAACAATTCCAGGAATTATGTAACATAAGAACAAAACTCATGAACATCAGTTTCTCTACAGTGCGACATCTTTCCACCTGAACTAAAAGCCCCCAAAAGACTAGACAAATTAGTCCGAAGATGACGGATTAAAAAACAACAGCGTTTACACACACTGTGGAGCAACTGATGTTCATTATCAATACGGAAAACTTCAGTACTACCCCGGGAAGCAGGGACTTCTTTTGGGCCAGGAATTCAATTAAGACACTGATTCCGCTGGTCAAAATGCAGGTTAAGGTTCCCAGAAAAGTTCCTGTGGTGGCGAAAAATTACAAATTGCACTTGATGGCATGAGTCAAGGAAAAGGTAAAAGTTATTTTTAAAGTCTATTCAGTGTACTTTTCTGTTTGATGTCACATGTCACCACCATGTTCATCACACACAGCTCAAAGTGCTTTAGAATTAAAGGGGAAGATAAAGAAATAAGGAAACAAATTAATTCAAACTATGTGAATCTGAACAGGGGCGGCAGTAGCTCAGTGTGTAGGGCTTGGGAACCGAAAGGTCGCCGGCTCAAATCCCACAGACCACAATATGGCGTGTGGACTGGTAGCTGGAGAGGTGCCAGTTTCACCTCCTGTGCACTGCCAAGGTGCCCTTGAGCAAGGCAACCTAACCCCAATAAACTGCTAACAGGCGCCGCCAACGTGGCGAGCCCATCACTCCACCATCTCTCTCCCTGTTGCATGTCCACAAGTGCTGTGTGTGTGAAAGAATAAAAAAGTATGAAAAGAAGAATTTTCCCAATAGGGGATTAATAAAGTATATATCTTCTTCTGAACATTCACTATGCATACATATTAAGCACAGAAACAAATGCAACTCCAAGAGCCACTATCCATCATTCCCAATGGTTCAAGCATCCAACTGAAAAACTAACTCTACTGTGTTGCTCACTGATTCCTATTCTATCTGATAAATCTGTGCACAGTCAGCAGGTTTTACATCAGAAACAATCCCTCCGTCTCACTCCGTAATCTGAGAAAGCTCAGCAGACACAGCCTGTTTTTATCCTTTATTTACCAGTAAAGTTGACTGAGGCTGTGCGTGTTCTTTCTCCAGTACTTTGAATTACTTTCATTTCATTTATTTGTTTTCACAAACTTTATTTATAGGCTGACGGTATGCCTGATATAGACATGTCTTACACAGCAGGGCTTCTAAAACTTTTTTAGGCATACTTCAGATTCTAAAAACATTTCTAAGGACCACCTTCCAAAATAAATGAGTGAAAAGAAAACCACAATCAAAAACAACCCAAGAAAAAGTGGGTGTGACAGCATTCAGCCCCTACCGCCTTTATGAATCTAAATTTAATGTATTCTGGGGTATATTTCACTACACACACTTTGGCGCTTTTCCTGGCGCAGGGTTGTCTCCCACATCACTTTTTGTTCAAAACATGAGCAATTTTGTGTCACTGCATCCGAGGGAGCGTTAGCTAGCCAACAGTGGCAAAAAAAACCTGATGATATGTCATGGTTGGAATGGTGAAATTCAAAAGTAACTGGTCATGTACATTTTTTATTCATGTGAATTCCTGAGCGCATTTAGATATAAAAAATAAACAGTTTTGTAAATTACCCCCCAAAAAACAAATACAAATGGGAAGATTAAGCTGAAACCAGAGAAATTGGAGATTTTTCATAAAGAAAATTACTCAAAGTGAATGATCTGATTCATCAGCAGAGGCTGAGGTCACAGTAATAACTAAACACTGGATAATGAATGAAAGGAACAGAAAATAGTCTTCTTTTCATTCACATAAAACCAAGATTCAGAAACATTACACTCTGACCTCAATCTCACATCCTCTCGTTACCTTGCCAAGAGTAGCTGAACCCCAAACATTCTTTTCTTTAGCAAGGTAGTGTAAAAGTACAAGACAAAGACACACACGTTTCACATTTTCACAGAACTTTAAGTTTGGACTTGATGTGCAACTGGTTCAAGTTCGCCTACACAGACATGCACCATTTTCGTGCCAGTTGTACCACACATGGTCAGTGGACAGTGTTTCAGGGATATAAGAACAATTTTCAAGTTTTCATTTGAGTTCCCATCATGCTTTGGGTGATGAACTTGAACACGGCGCCATGGAATGAAAAGTTAAGAATATAAACTATTTGTCATTACTGCTTCCTTTTCTGTTGTTTGAAATGAATAAAACCTTGAATGTCACCATGAACCTTAAAGTCCCCCTCCATTCAAAAGTATGTTATTCCATCTTTTTCAACAACAGTCAATGGATTACTGTGATACTGAAGAAAATGTCTAAACATAATGATTAAGAGGCAAAACATGAGGTTATAGGGAGAGGCTACTTCTGATTTCTGAACAGGTTTTTGGATGCCTATCTGCGATGGACAACTGTGTCTGGAAGGAGTAAGTTCAGCTGATTCCTGAATTATGCGTATGATGCCTGTCAGACTTGAGTTATGATGCATTTAAATTTTTTTAACTTTCAGCTGTAGTGTCACTGCAAATCATGTTCAGCGAGCTCTGACCTTCAGCTGCCTGGCGAACTCCACGTGGTTGTCGTAGACGAGGACGTTAGCGATGAGGTTCTCTATCTCTGTAGAGAAGGAGGTCGGCCCCTCTATGGCGTTCGGCTCAACTATCACTTTCAGCAGAGTGTGAGGACACCGGGTCCCATCCCACACCTGAAAAGACACAAAAACATGTAAAGATGACGGGATTTAGACTCTGCTGACCAGCGCAGGACACAGATATTTTCAACCTTACAGACAGAGAAAAGTGATGCTGATCCATCTGTCTGTCCAACTTTTTTGGTCCACAACATTATATCTACAGATCTAATTGTCAGATGAATCACTCAGTCTATATGTGTAGAATATGATTACATACCTCAGTGTTTCCTCTAGGATTTTTTTCAGCAGTGGGGGCAGGCCTGTCCGAACAACATAGTTCTACTTGTTGTTAAATTGCAATGTGAGCGGCAGCCAACGAGGGTGCATTATGTCGGCAGGATCATTTAAAAGGCAACCGTGACTACATTGTAAACAAGATACCATTTCTGATACCGTGGCGGCAGAAACTTAACAGCGGCGGGCCGCCGCTCCAAAATCAACATAGAGGAAACACTGTACCCCACAGATCATCAAGAGATCCTTTATCAGAAACACCAACTAATAAATAACAAGTAATATAAACACATCACAAATTATATATTATATTTTAAAATGAATTCCATATTTATTCATGGCTCCTACAGTCTATAAAAATCCTTGTATCAACATGTTAATATAAAACATATATTCCATATCATCCACCCCTAATCTGAAACTATCAACCATCAAACAAACACTAAACTGTGAGACCAGCTCGGTATAAAGTCTTTTAGTTGGAAGTACAGAGTCTAAGTATGGATCTCATATGTTACAATGTTACATGATAATATTTGTGATTTTGAGCAGGGTTTGTTATACAATTTTAGACAAATTCAAACCATCAAGGATAATTACTTCCTATTTTGATACTTTGATACTCTTAATGACAACAGCTACTGTGTTATATTTATTAATACAAGCAATATGGCTAAAGTCCTCCATTATGGTAAAGTTGATTTTACATGCAACAGGGTAATATTTGAAGTTGTCCTGAAACTGTTTGTTGATAAAACAACCAGGCTGAGAGATAAAGAGGGAGAGAGTAGAGATGCACAATAATCTTTGGGGCTGATATATTATCGGCCGATAATGGGAAATGTATATTATTAAGAATTATTGGGGTAATTAAATTGCGGCTGATAAATTATCGATCCATAATAATAATAATTTATCTTTAATTCTTATGCAAAACATCTATGAAAGCCAAAGTATGTTTGTGAAATGTTTTGATTAACTTAAGAAAAATAAAGGAATATTTGAAGCATCAGAATTATCGGTTATCGTATTGGCTGAAAAAAATCCATATCTTGCGTCCCGAGGAGAGAAATCACATAAAACAGCCGGGTCACTGATTTGTCCACTGCACCAAGAGCTACTAAAAGAAAAGCTACCACCGTATAAATGCTATGGAAAAATGTTTTGTTCGACAAATTTATATTGTCTCAGAGTACACATCACAACGGCCAACCTTATTTCTCCATAATTTAACTCACTTCCATTGTACCATCGGGGAGGCAGATATCAGAGACTAGAAACCTGGACAAATAAAACTGGATAAATACCACTAAAGGGAAGAGAGAAAATATCCTTCGTCCATTTGGAAAAGAAAGGGTACAGTTTAAATACTGTTTAAGGGCTGCAATGACCAATTATTCTTATTATTTATTAATGTGCAGATTATTTTGTTGATAATTGTTTAGTCTACATGATGTTACGGAGTGTAAAAAAAAACAAGTTTGTTAAGTCCAGGGCGACATCCTCAAACGTCCAACAGTCCAAAAACCAAAAAGATAATCACTTTACAATGACATGAAACAGAGAAAGGCAGAAAATCCTCAAACACAGTACAGTAGGAGAAGCTGGAACCAGAGAATGTTTGTGTTCTTGAATAAAAAATTACAATTAATTGATTTATTAAAACAGCTCAACAAACTCATTCTTTAAGTTTAAAGGCTGCTAAATCCAAACTACGGTGTGAACAAACAATGATCTCAGGTGCTTGAGGAAAGGTATAAAAATCTATTCTTCATCTAATAACCTTTTATGATTCAGGAAACATCCTCTCCTGGTTGCATGTGTTGTAGTGTAACAGCAGGCTCAGAGCAGAAATCAGTGAGAGCAGACTGGCAGCAGACCAGCAGTCACTGCCAAATCCTGCTCAAATTTATCTCCTCTATTAGCCTCTCTGGCAGGAAACCAGCTGCCACTTACAGCCTCATTTCTGCTCTGAAAACTGAGGTGGCAGGTAAAACAGCTCAGGACCAAGATAAAATACATGAGACCTCCTCCCATTGAGGCCAGCTGACTGTGAAGTAGATTTACTATAGGACAGATGAAGACTGAAGGCAAACAGCTCCACTGTTCCAAAGTGGAAAATACAATATGAACTGCTTAAGCAGGATGAAGTTTTAAAAGGAACCGTTATGGAGGAACGAGGAGGAAGCAAGACAGCAACGCAGCTTCCTAACAAAGTAACAAGTCACATTAACATCAACAACAAGAAAAAAAACAGGTGACTGCGGGTAATAAAAACAAGACGGTAAGAACAAATTCATATAAGCTGACAGTAAACAGCCTCCAGGGAAGCTTCCTGGTGATTGTGTTGCAATGTGAACACATACTGCAGGGATTTTGTGCTGTTTATTAGCAGAAACTCACGTTAAAAGGTAAACTCCACCCTCAGATATACTGCTTATTATCATTTGTCTGTTAAATAGGTTCAAGCCTGGAATTAATATATATTAAACTATACTTTAAAAAAACTATTTGTGTATTTTAGATTTAGGAATTCCTAAATCTAAAATACACAAATAGTGACTTAGTGCCTGGTGCCGGCAGCCACAAGGAATCAATATACAGCCTTTGGCGTGTGGCGTATAGTAATGTGCTCATTTTCTTTGAAGCATAATAGATGGTAAAAGGAGTTCACTTATATAGCTTGTTTCTACCTTAACGAACAAAGCGCTTTAGAATTGGCTGCTCATTCACACACACTCGCAGAGCGATGGTGACCAAGCTGCCTTGCAATTTGCTGGCCTGCCCATAGGGAGAAACTTCAGGACACTTCGACATGTGGACGGGAGGAGCCAGGGATAAAACCACCAACCCAGAGACTTGTGAACGACCCACTGTACCACCTGAGCCACAGCCATCAGTACAAATAGGCCTAATAAAAATATATTTCATAAAAATGTAAATGATTTCCTTTTCCTTTCATTAGTGGCTCTTCCAGGTGAGTTGGGGCACCTCCACTATGAAAACTATGAAAATGGGGTTACCACTCCATGCAGAGGGTTCACTTCTGGTGAAAAACTCTGCACGCAATTTTTTTAGAAATAAAATAAAATAAAAATTTCACTGGAGGAAGACAAGTTTGCACATTTGCAAAATAGGCTGTAAAAGTAGTTTCCATTAATGGTGCTGAATTACAGCAGTAAGAGGGAATTCTCCTGAACAATAAATCTGGTGCTTCTATAGTCATGTTCCACATTTTTATATTTTTACTTCACTCTGGTTCAATTTTATTCTACAAAATAAAAACAAAAACATACATACCATAAAACTTCCAATAAAAGCAGGGTCCCTAATAGACGCAGGTCTCATTTAAAAGCCTGGTGTGGCTACATGTTTTGACAAATAAAAGCAGGTCTCTAATGCAGGCCTCGTCGGGATTTTATAGAAATGATCTTGATGTATAAAACCTCTTAAAACCCAACAGGTCGCCTGCTTGAGCAAGTTTCAAGGCGTTTCGATATCCTACTTCTGTCAATATGTACATAATACACATCGTAAGATCAGTTAGATTCTCCACAATTCAATCGTTCACTATATTTTACGAAAACTATCAACACCAAAGTAAAATGTTAATTCATTCGGTAACACGATAAACAAGAGAGACGGGAAAAAACCTCTGAAGCGATCATAATCATCATGTTAGTTGCCAAATTTGCTGAATAAAACTCAAGAGAAGCAGCAGTTAGAGTTTAGTTTAGTTTTTTATTAAAGGAATTAAACGCCTGTCCCAAATAGAGGCCTATCCCCAATAAAGGCAGGGGGAGTTCAGTGATTTAAGCAAATAAACGCCCAGGCTATTATTAGAAGTTGCTACATAGTGATAACATGCTGGCCTCTGAGTGATGCCATGTATCTTTAGGAAATCAAGTCTGTAGTTCACCATGTATGTGACTTTCTTACCTTCAGCAGGGTGCAGGTGGTGTCGATGGGAGCTTTGGCCAGCAGCTGGCACGTCAGGTCGAAATAAGCTTTGGGCTGAACAGCAGAAAGAGGGGATGAGGGAACTGGAGGGAGGATAGTCTGGCTGGCGGCCCAGGATCGCAGCTCCTCCACAGTCTGACGGTCCTCCTGGTCCAAGTGGAAGGAGCGGCTGGAGGTCCGTGGATCCATGGCGCTGCCTGCCACCCCATCAAACGTCACCACTGAGAAACCGAAGGTGTTGACCAGCGTGATGGAGTCATTGAAGAACTGAGTCTGTTTAGAGATACATGGAATCATCACTGATCTAGAATTCATGTATCTCTAAGTTACATATTCTCAGTTCAAGAACAATACTGGTGTTTTTTTATGTTTCAGTTTCTAACTTCCTGCCTTCTTTATTACAAAATAGCATGTAAATGTTTTAATTAGCAAGACCTTGACTCTGTGCATGCGGACAATGTCTCCGATTTGAAAGATTTTTGGATGGTCCTCCAGCTTCTCACAGAAGATGGTGCAGCCAATCTTCTGGTTGGACTGATCAGTAATCTTCAGGCTGGAGCAGAAGTCTGTGGAAAGAATGTGATCAGATCTCTGAGAGACAAATGGGAAGAGCCAAGGTCTGAGAACAGTTCAGCTGCTCTTGAAAGAGTTGTTATTTATTGCATATTTTTCATCTTGGTGAAGCACGTAAAACAATACTTTACGAATATGAGTTTATTATTTACTAATGCACGATGATTCTTGTTTAAAAAGACAAACTTTAAGGACTTTCTTCTTCTGACAAATCCTGCTTTGTGATTTAAGTCCACATGGATGAAGTTCAAGTTTATTGTCATTTTTACAAGTACAGTGAGAAGCTTGTGCCCCAGCTCAATCACTTTGTGTACATACATAAATGCAGACCATACTGTAACATTTAAGGCCCACAACAATCTACGTAATAGTAAAACATACAACCCACATGAGCATATGCCCAGTGCATTCACATGTAACACAGTTGCTGTTGAGGAACCATGAGAGTTTATCGGTGATGCGTAAACATATTTCAACAGATGATTGTTAATGGAAATAGGAGTATAATTCTCTCTGGTCTTCTTCAAATCAGCTATGATGTATTTTGTCTTACTGACAATAAGAGAGATTGTTGTAATGACACCATAGGGCTAGGTCCACTTTTATAGGCCCTCTCATCATTGTCAATTACGAGTCCAATCACTGTGGCAAATAAGCAAATGTTATATTATTGTTGCCATATTTGGCAGCACAGCCATAAATAGGTTGTACAGTAAATAGTAGTAGATGGTAGTAGACATACCAGTTCTCAGAGTTATTGTAGAGGAGTATGTAGGTTAAAAATCATCCATGTAAAAAAAAGAGGAAACTGGATCTAACCACTTTATTGATGTGATTCTTAAAGCTGGAATAAGAATTAAAAATGACATCAAGATTACTGGAGGAGGAGTCACCCTGATAGCTCATCTGACAGAGCTGACTCCTTATGTACCAAGACTGAGTCCTTGCTGCAGTGGACATGGTTTCAGCTCCAAGTTGTGGCCCTTTGCTGCATGTCATGTAAGTAATTTAAGACTCTCAACTGAGCTGACTGCTGATATATTGAAATACTGTGTGTGTGTGTGTGTGTGTGTGTGTGTATATATATATATATATATATATATGTACTGCACATTTGTGCATATTAGTGTATCTATCTGACAGGATTTGATCTGTGTTACTATGACTGTGTATCTTAGTGTGTGTGTGTGTGTGTGTGTGTGTGTGTGTGTGTGTGTGTGTGTGTGTGTGTGTGTGTGTGTGTGTGTGTGTGCATGTGTTCCTTCAGTGTCTCATCAGATGGATTTTTCTAATATCTTTGTTTGGAAAAAAAAAAAGATGCCTGAAGGATCCACAAAGATGATGACAAAGTCTGGACGGTTTCCAGCCTTGCTGCTGCTTTCTCTTTATTATATTTCCCAAAACACACACAAACACACACTATCATCATGTGCTGCATGGCTGCAGGTCGACTCAGACTGAGTGGCCTGGTGTTTGTTGTATCAACATTATTGCCATCGCTCTCCTATTGTAATTCTGCCACAACTGTGTTTTCTGCACTTCGTGATGATATCAGTTGCAGTGTGTTAACAGGGAAATTAAGTAAAAGACTAAACATTGTTCCAGAGGTTCAGTGGATTAGATTAATGCAGCTTCCTATGATGCTGACAAGTACTGAAGTCTTTAAAGCTTTTTGAGCAGCCTGCTCAAACCCAGACATCCTTTAAGACTATCAACACATAAACTGAAAATATATTTTGCCACCCCACTCCTCTCCACACCTTTCTGAGTGTGTTATAGGAATAATCAGAGACATTTCCATCTAAAAAAATCCTCTGCACTCACTCAGCACTGATCCAGCTTTTATCACTTCATGAAAGATTTTCACTTATTTTCTGTCTGTCAGCTCCTTTCTGTCTCAGAGGAGGTGATGAGGTTTATGTACCCAAGTCTCATTTACCAAAAACGCTTTCTTTCTTACATTTTGAAACACGTCTCTAAAAAGTATTAAACACAGCTGCTGAACATCTTAACGTCCCTGCATGGTGCTTTATTTTATTTTTTTTAAATACAGTAACTGTTAATTAGCTCCATAGGACAGAGTTGTTACAGTTTAGATACCGATAAATTTCAGGTTAGAATTCTTTAATATATAATGTTCTATTCAGCCCTATTTATAACACTGATTTTTTTCCTCATAATATTACTTTGACTATATCCTTGAGACCTCAGCAGTGGTCCTGATACTCATACATACCAGATAAGTATACAGACATAAATATTTTCAATCATTCTAGCACCATGGCTCTAGGGATGGGAATGTTGTTTAGTCGGTCCACCACTTCCATCCAAACCGAAATATCTCCAAAACTATTGGACTAACGACATATCCATCAGCTGTACTTTGTGTTTGGGGCTAATGATAATGATAGCATGCTCAACTAAGATGGTTAACATGGTAAACATTATACCCGCTAAAATCACTTAGCATTGTGACTGTGAGCGTGTTAGCATACTGACATTAGCTTTTAGTTAAAAGCACAGCTGTGGCTAGGTACAGTCTCACAGTGCAGATAGCATGGTTGTAGACTCATGCAAACACACTACACTTGAGAAACATACATTTACTGTCCATCATTTGGTCATCATTCCAGACTGACCTGTGCCACGGCTCTTGAATGGCTGTTTGAAGAAGACCACCACTCCGTACACGTTCACTACAGATCCAGCCTTCAGGTCACCCAGTCGGACGTAGGTGTATTTTGGAGCCTTGGTCGTCCTGGAAGCCTGAGGAGAAGAAAAAAAAAGAGTAGAAAAAGAGTTAAAAAGAGGCACCAGCAGAAATCCAGAAGCACATTGACATGCATTACATTAGATTACGTTTATTTGGAGGCTTTTCACCAAAGTTAATAACATTTTCAGTCCTTCCCACACACCTACTGAGAGGTAGTAGGTGCGTGGGAAGATACTGCAGGGTTCAGTGTAAGATACCGTATATATATATATTTCTTAAGGTCGTAAAAGTTTAAGTTTAAAAATTGGAAAACACTTTAACTGGCAAACTGCTGCAGTTTGACAACATCCCTGTCATTATACTGATGAGAGGACGCTTTTGCCAACTACTCATTTAACAGATTTAGTAGCTAATGTGTTAAAAAAATGTCTGTAAATATTTACATAGTTTCCACTACATTGATTCAGATGTGGCCCCTCATCATTCCCCTGTGCATAATATAACCTCATTTATCATTATTCACCACACCAACACATTGTCACAGCAGGAGCCCAACTGCTTTCTCTGCTGCTCTGTTCATCTGCTGCTGTGAGCTCAAGATTAAGCTGTTGATACTAAAACATCACTTCCTGCACGGGTTTCATAATAACTGTGTTTTAATGTGAAGGCAGTGGTAGGACTTTACTGTAAAACAACCACGTGTGGATAAAGCTAATGACATTGCAGCTAACAATGCTCACTTCACAGCAGTTTAACATGAGATTTAATGTAAGCATGACTTTGTGACATCACACTAGTTTGGAAGCCAACTGTGGTTCAAAATGCAACCATTTGGACTTTTTAAAAACAAATATTAATTCACACACATACATATACATACAGGTGAAGGGATTAGATGTAGCACAGGCTTTCTTTGGAGATTGTTGCCACCCAAAATGCCTGATTTTACAGCACCTTTTCTAAACAACTGAGATGCATGTTGTGATGTTTTTAGCCATTTTCTTGCAATGCAGTTGTGGGGAAAGTTTCAAAGATAGTTGCATTTTTTTGTATAATACATTAAAGATTTAAGGCAACTTGTTCCGGTGAGAATAAACTCACTAGTAGTTTAGAGACGTATGACTCAATGTTTTGTGCGAGGGATTTCTATGATTTTTTGATGAATTTGTGTTAATCACAACTTCCTGGAGAGAGTTTCACAGTTTGGGCAAATCTCAAGCTTCAGATATAATATAACAAAGATTCACTCATCTTTGTCTCCTCTTTCATGTTCCCATCCTGTAGACATACTGTGATCACAAAGTATGTTCAGTATTTGATTACAAGACTAATCCTACATTACATTCTGCAGCAATGAAGAATGGAAAATATTTAAATAAAGACTAGATGTACTAGACTAGATGTCACATCTATTATTACAATGTTAAAACTATGTGTGTAACTGACATACATGATAACATGCTAACTGTGTGGTCATCATCATCTCTGTATCATCACTGCAGACTATGATAAAGGAAAACTGAGGACAGAACAGATGTTTCAAAAGTAAAACACTAATCATCAAGTCTTCTGAGATTGACAGATTTTGTAATCTTGGCATTTAACTAAACAAATGCCATTTCTGACAAATGTTAAAAGCTTAGGAAACGACCGATCAGAGAGCCTGACAGTTTTCAATTCCCTGCATCTATTTCAACATTTCTTCAGTCAGATGTGATTTTCCCAGGAGGATAATAATGATCTGAAAAATTAGCATATGCTCATGAAAGAGAAACCCAGACAAAGGCAGTCTGTCCAACATTTATTTTTACCAGCTTTTGTTCGACAGTACAGATCAAACTCGAATCGGCTTTAAATTTTGATCACTGGCTTCTGAAAATATTTAATCTCTTTCATTTATTTTTATTGTGTATGTGTAATTCTGTCTGTTGATTTATTCTGTTTTAAAAGTGTTTATCACAGCTCTACCTCACTGTTACTCTACTTTATTAATCTGTCACTGGCTTAATATTTGATTGGCTGTGGTTGTACAGCAGTTTGTATGTATGTTTTTTATTATATTATTGTATCTTTAACACTGGCAGCAGCCAGCAGGTTATCTCTGCAGTGACTTCACCTGGAGTTGAGAGCTGACTTCTATATTCGTTCCCACGTGTCTCTGCAGGCTGACAGTCAGATGGGCTTTAATCATGAAAGACGTTACTTTTGCAATTTTTCTAAACATTCACTGAGGAGGAGATCTGTCCCCGGCATTCAACACCTGCTAAATAACATTAATTTACTACAGAAAATTAAATTTTCTTTTTTTTTTTTGGAAATCACAATGTGACCAAAGTACACACGTCAAAACAAACAGCAAGGAGATATAAATTTATATCAAAGCAAAAACTGGCTTTTACTTGTCACCAGGACTGGCAAATGAATGTCGAATCGTTGATTGAATTTCAGATTTAAGCGAGTTGTGTGCACACATTAAATGATTAAAGTACTTCAAAGCGATTTACAAAATATTTGTCTTGTAGTGACTGGGTTTGATTTTTTCCTTTGAAAAAAATTATGTATTGCATTATAAATAGTTGTATTATTACAAAAAGTTGTAATAAAAATACAAAATGTCATAACAGGTTGTGACAAAAGGTCATGTGTGACAAAAAGACAAAAATAGCCTGTAGACACTAACCAGACAAGTATACTGGTCACAGAAATGTGTGTCTGTCAAAATATCAGATTTCTTTTTCACAGTCAACTTCTTCTTTTCTTGTTCTAGCCTTGTTCTGCCCTTGTGACAAGTTTTGTCCACTGATTTCTAAATGTTTGAAACAGTGGTTGTAATTCATAAAAGTAATGAGATCAAGAAGTTACTGAAAGCTGTGAGGTTTAAAGACACTCGCACGAAGCAGTGACAATCCTCATTGCCACATCACCACAGAGACACAGAGGTCTGGTGAGACCCTGATCCAGCCGAGGTGACTCGGGGACAGCCAGCAGCTGACATGAAGTGTCCTGACAGATACAAGACCTCCACAACACACTCCAGCAGCCTCTTCAGCTAACTAGGCTTCTGACTCTGACCTCAGCGGAGAGTGGAGAGCTCCTCTTGACGGCCGGTAGGGATCTGGGGTCAGGAGGAGGTGGCAGTCGGGACACCTGAAGGACAATCAGAATCAGAACCAGAATCAGAAATACTTTAATAATCGCAGGGGGAAATTATTTTTGTTACAAAACTCCAGATATACAAACAACATATATTATACAAACAACATCTATTAAGAACAAAATATATATATATATATATATATATATATATATATATATATATATATATATATATATATATATATAAAAGATCAAATGTACAGTTTAATAATGTGCAAAAAGTGCAAAAATGATTGTCCGTTGTTTGAGTCAGATTACAGAATTACAGAGACAGACAGAGAGGAGACATTACAGCCACCACAGCAGACACACTGAATTAAAAATGAGTGAAATAATATCTATAAAATGTTGTAAATGTTGTAAATACATTTTTTTTAAAACTGAGTGAACTGTAAAAATAAAGTAAAATACTTGAATTTATTATTTGTTGTTGTCTCAGTAAACTACAGTTAAAGGATATGTGTGTCTTAGTGAGTGCATACGTGTGAATATAAGAAGCTGTAAATCACAGGGTTTTATAACATGTATTAAGAACACAACCTATGTGTGTCCGCAGATCACACCCCAAACTTGGGTAAAAAGGATGTCACCATGGGCAAACAGCCAATTGTATTTGGAGTTTTTGTCTCGGAACAGTATAAAATGTGACGGTTATTTTGCCTAGAAGTGCACAGACACAGAGGGGACTGTATTTTCCCTTCACCTCATCAGGACCCGGAGGATGGGACTGTGTTTTCCCATGCATCAGACTAGTCCGAAAAAAGAGTTTGGAACTGGCTCAACTTAGTTGTTAAGCCAAAAGTGGTGAGGCGGTGTGTGATTGGCTAATGAATGAATGCTTTTTTTTTTAATGAGTAAATATTTGATATATACTGGAAAAAAGGTTTTGAAATTGTGACATTTGGTTAACAGCGTGTCTGTTTTGAGCAACCCTGTCGTGTTTGTTAATCTAGTGATGTCTGAGCCTGCCTGTAAAACATGTGAAGGATGTGAAATTCATCAGCGGGTAAACAGAGACACGTCTCCAGGTGTTGTTGTTGTTTTTGTTATGTCTGTCTGACATGACGTAGAGTGAGAAACAACCGATGAATCACGTTCAATTTAAAAGCTCACACAGAAGAGCTCATGCTCTAACACTGTAAGACCCTGCAGACTGAATTCAGACAGACAGACAGACAGACCCCCAGTGTACGGGGGGTCATGACCTCACTGAGGGTCACTTGATCATGATTCTGGGTGTCAGAGATTAGGCACCAAATGATTTTTAAATTGTGCAGTTGACTAGAAGCCTTCGTTTGGCTTTTGTGTGTATGTGCCTGATATCATGTTTTGCAAAGTGTGCAGAGTGTGTTTGGATGATGCTTTTGAATTCATGCTAAAATCTCATCTACTATTACAAAATACTGTGGTTTGCTTTCAGACCACACATGAACCACACCAGAGATGGCTTGGAAGGGGACAGAGACTGCTCGAAAAATAAGGGTCTTGTCCTTGTTGTTTGATGCACAACAGAGCTTGTTTACACCCCGGTATTAACATGCGTCTTGGGCAAGTGTTGAACCTATCGTGACATCGTGAATATCGTGAGAAGTGTGTGGTAGTGTTTTTTATTGCAGCCAATGGAGCTCCCCCTGCTGGCCTTTACATAGAATGCAGGTTTAAGACACTTCCACATTTGGTTTCACTATATAAACTGACAATGGTCTTCAGTCTTGGGACACATTGGACCACATATCACATATGTGTAATTTATGAACCGTTCCAGTAAGTAAACACAAAACACACTGTGTATCTGGTTCACTGTAATGCAAATTATGTGTTTGGGCTCTCTTACCAAGATAAGCAGCATATGTTTGTGAAGACATTGTTTCAAGTGATGAACTTGGTGTTGATTGAGGAGAAACTTTAGAAACTTTGTGAAACACTGTCTACAACAGATTCTTCATTATTTGGGACTTTTTTTAAATCTGGCAAATATTATACATTAAGTTATTTCTTTCTTTGTGTAAAAAAAAACACTGTCCGGCTGCTACTGTTGGGCCAGCAGTTTAAAACAACAACGCATTTTGTCTTTGCAAACAGACCATTCCACCGTCTAACTTTAGGGTTAGACGGTGGAACAACCTCCTCTACTGCCGTCCACTGTGAGTGGTTCTTTGGGTGACAGCCTGTCAGCAGTCGGCCAAGCAAGAGAGACCTTCTGTGGTGCGAGCAAGACTCACACATTTACTTTCTCTGACTCTGGCATTAACGCCTTTCTTCAGCATTTGTGATGTGAGAACACAGTCAGAGAAAATAAAAGTGTGTGTCCTGCCTATGTAGTTCTCATTTATAGGTCTCTCCTGCAGGGCTGCTCACAGCAACTCAGGCTGATGTAGGAGTTTACTGCGGTGCTGAACTGGAAAGAAAGAAATTAATAATTTAATCTTTATATTGAACAGCCAAATGGAAAGTAATAATGAACACTGACTGACAAAATTCTGAGTAGGGTACCTTCCTATAGTGTATATTTGCACATAGAGCGGGGACATGAGGTCACACGAGACGTGTGTGGAAAAGCATTTTAATGCCAGGTATAATCAGGCCAGCGTTTGATTGACAGCTTTCACACCAGCTCCAACGAACTGCAGCCAAATGCAGCAGTTTGTTTTACCCACATTAAAGAGGTAGTAGAAGTAGAAGAGGTAGAAGTGTGAGAGCATCCATAGAGCAAATGAACTGTGAAAGACATTAAAGAGATTTATATACACCTACATACATACAGTGCATATTACTTTATTTATAAAAGTCCTCACATAAATACAGGCGTTGTCTCCTGACAGCAGCAGGTTAAAGGTGTGCAACTTGTCCTTATGAACTGTGGGGGATTTGCCCACAGTGAAGCCAGAGGCCACCACCACATCCTGCAGGAAAACACAAGATAAACAACAACAAGCAAAGAAATCAGGGATTAGAGTGAGAGAGCAGAGAGAGATAAATATACATCCTTTTCCCAGAGGGAGGACAGATTGAAGCAGCAGATGTAGCATCCTGTGAGACATTAAGTAAGACGTCACAACAAGCTGCCGATGATAAGCTGGTGTGAAATGTGGAGATTGTCTTTTGTTTGGCGTGTCAGCTGCCCCCAAGACGGCTTTAAAGCCTCCACTCAGGGCTGCCAAAGGGACAGCAGATAGTCTGAATAATCATGTTACAGAGACACATAGCCTGACAAGAACTCTGATCTACAGCTGAGCAGAGCGGCTCAGTCTGTGATGACTTCCTGACTTCACCAAGCTTTATGGCGCTTTGAGTTCCATCAAGACGCTGCTGTACCGAAACCAAAGACACAGTGAGATACTGCTGACAGAAGGATTATCCCTGATGTGTTCACTGTCCCCGTCCAGGTCAAAAACAGATGAACTGCTCTGTAAACAACATCACCGCTGCTGCTGTATACAGATGTGTACAGATGTGACAGACTCAGAGTAAACTGGCACAACGACTTGTGGCAATGATGATTCAGACTCACTTTGTTTGTACAGTTCAAGGGATCTGCAGGAGGTGAACTGTCACACCAGAGCCCAATCATCGGTCCTTTGAAGGAAACGTTCAAGTTGTAATCCTTAAGATTTCAGCCCTTGTTGATTTGGCGGCTTTTGTGGTTACCGTAGTAACAGCAAGTGTTGGTTCATACTAGTCACAGAACTCTGGTGGCAGAAATAACTTCTTGGGCAGCTACTTTGTCAGAAAGAGCAGAGGAGCTACTGGTGACAAATACACTGTGCTTCTTGTGGCTGCTTCACAATAAAAGCCACCTCATGTTTCACCAGCACTTGAAACAGCAGCATTAGGAAATGCATTGGTACTAGTAACTTAATACATATGCTGTCAAACCATTTATTTGTTAAGTTCTCTATACATCTGTATTTTTTTCTGTCCTTGTGCTACTGCATTGCCCAAATCTCCCCTCTGGGTTATCAATAAATAATTATCTTATCTTAGAGGCATACTGAGTAGGATTTTACTAAAAAAAACATACAAAAATAATCCCTCTCAATCATAACTCATGACCCACTACAAGTGTGTGGCGTTGTCTATATATCTGCAGAGACACTGCCTTCTGCCTGTATTTTCTTATTAGTTCAGGACATTCCTGGGTCGACCTTTGGCCAACGTGCATGGTGTAAGGTGGGGACTCTATTAAAACATAGCAACGCTCTGTGTGTCTGTTTGACCGACGGCGGGACTAAGCTATACACACACACACACACACACACACACACACACACACAACACACAGACACAAAGCAGCCGAACTGAACAGGATGAAATGTGGCAATGGCTGCGTCTGTGTTTATTTGTGCTTTAGAAGGTAACCAATGTGATACAATCAGAAAATAACGTTATAATTCTTTAATTCACTGCCTTGTTATTGCTAATGCCGCTCCCTCTCTTCATTCACCCTCTAGCTCGCTCGACCACTACTACTCTCGCTAGCTCATTTAGCTTGGGAGGAGGGGCCAACTTTGAACTGTGTGTTTACAAACAGCAACAGACAAATCCTTCTCATTATCCATTTTAAGTGAAAGGATTCCTATTGTCCATATCTACCTTCAAATAAAGTAGTTAACATAAACTGAATAAACTGGTGGTATGCATGCTTCCCCTTTATTTTTTCAAAGCACAGGATATTCAATTACTGCAAACCATCGCAGGCTTTACACAGCTCAGCGCACATTCCTTCAAACACACAATATGTAAATTAATTCATCTCATCCTACAGATCAATGTCATATTCCTCAACACTTCACATGTATCACTGAGCTCATTACTTTATTCAAATCACAGGTTTTATGATCCAGAAAAAGACAATTTCTGCAGACACCCCCCATATCCATATCCAAGCCTAGTTTTTAATGAAAATAACATAATGCACTCTCATCAGCATCACATGAATATTCATTATAAAAAGGCTTTCAAACTGTTCTTCACTGTCTGTCTTCACTCAACCCTCTGAGGCTTAAAGGACCCAGCCTCAAGAAAATAACTTCCAAACTCTCCATCTGACAAGGAAACTTTCTCTACTCGCATTTATTAACGTATCAAATAAATGTGTCTGACCATTTCTGTAACTTTCTGAAGGTTTACTTAGTACATACCCCTATAACGTCAAGTAGGGATGTCCCGATCTGATTTCAACGATCGGTATTGGCTATACTGAGCTTTATCCATCCGATCAGGTCTTTTGTTTTACTTCAGCTGTCACACAGCTGTTTGTCAACTCTCTCGCTGTTTCTGTTCCTCCATTCTGCTCTGTGTGTGTGTGAGAGAGAGCAGGAGGAGAGAGCAGTAGATATCCGACACAGCTGCAAGTGCAACAAACGTCCCACGAACAAAAAGCCAATAAAAGTAATTAATCAACGTAATCCGAGCAAAAGATGTAGAGACGATGGAAATAAACACTCAGCAAAATACAGCTCATTCAGGCAACTCTGGAGAGAGAAAGTCCCTTCAGACAGCAACAAGACCAAAAAGATTACAGAGAGCTTGTTAGGCTGTTTTATATTTTATTGTGTAAAAAAATAAAACGTTAAGGAACAGCTTTGATGCAGGCATTTTGTTTCTTAATGCAATGCATTGTCGAGCATTGGATTGATTTTGATAACCCTAATCTACTTGAAGTCCGCACTGGGCACTGTATTATCTTAAAAAAAACAGTATTGGATTAGGACACAGTATCAGCAGATAATCAATAATTAATGACTCTGATCAGATTGGGGGCAAAGAAAACTTCCCTAATGTCAAGCATAGTGAATTCAGTATAATGCACATTTCCTTATTGTGAAGAAAATCTTGCGAGAGAAATGTTTTAAGCAGAAGCATTAACTGAAAGTGGAGAAACACTCCAAGTAAACCACTGTGCAAAACCACTCCAGTTCTGAAGGATAGTTGTTGAGGAGTATTTAACCTAGATTTTGCCGACAATGCCTTTCCTGAGTTAACCGAATGTAACATTGCATTATCACTCCGGTCACACGCCCTTTACTCTAATCCTGTTTGGTGGAAGGTAAAGCACAAACTATCTATCTACGGCCTTGGACTCTCTGGAAGACAGACTACCTCATCAGAATAGCTGCACTGGTTGGCCCTGAGACACAGAGGGGGCGGAATATTGCTCTGACAGAGACAGGTCATCACTGTCTGCTTCTAGGTTTGTAAGTGACCCAATGTTGGCCTGGGGAACCACTGTGTCATACTATTATTAACCTAAAGAAGGAAGATTTTGCTCATGCATATAACTAATTCATCCATCAGTACAACAACAGAGTCATGTCAGCACACTGCTCTCTTTATAACATTAATACACAGTATTTTTTTTACTGCAGTATCAGTGTTTTAAGTGTGAGAATGACAGGACTAGAAATGGACATTATCCTGAATTTGTTAAGATGACATGAGAGAAAGTGTTGAGTATCAATTTAAAACCGGAGCAGATCAGTGAGACTTCTGACTAAATTATTAAAATATACTTAATTACTTTGTATTAAACAGACACCAACATGTAAAAAAAAAATAAAGGTTGTTTCAAATAGCTGGGTCTGTGCAGGTAAAATAAATAAAATGATTAACTAAACAATTAACTAATCAACCGAACAATTTAATTACTTCTGCCCCCTAATAGTCATCTTAACCGTGAGCCGCTGAGAAGAGCCATAGTTGACCGACTTTTTATTAGTCAGAAAGTTGCAGAAAAACAAAAAAATGTCAAATGTGTTCGGGAGCTGCGCCTCGTCACCTGAATGAAAGTATCAGAGGATTATTGCAACACAGGCCTTATCTCTTGTAACAAAGTGGAGTTACTTACTGTACTAGCTGCTGCCACTAGCTAGTTAGCGGTCCTATTAGTTGACTATACTTGGACTGGGAGCTCGAAGGAAGGGGGGGACTTACTAGTGTAAAAGCCTTCCCAGTGGGGAATGCCGGAATGAGCGACAGAACTGGAGCGGACCAACAGAGGCCATCTGACTTACAGCGGCTCCAAGCAGGACTATTATGACTCTGGGGGTTTTTTGGATTGGTAAGTAACTGTTAACATTATATATCATCCATCATATCTGTGATGTTTTACTGTGTTGTAATAATTGAACTAAATGTTCAGTCTCCTTGCTGGTTATTCTGACACGTTCGGATTGACTAATGCTTTTTCTGTTATCATTTGACAAGAGGCCATTTAAATAAATATATATTTAAATCATTTAGGTAATATCATAAACGTGTGACAACTACAACTATTGGCTTCGACTAGGAAAATCTTTAGTCAGGGGCAGTCCTAATTATGAGACATCCAAATAGAGTTGGAGTTGTCTGCAAAGGTGAAGAGTGTGTGATTTTTACAAGGGAACAGACAGACTACCAGGGTTTGTTAACACTCAGGTGACACAAAGGAGAGAAAAGGAAACAGAAAATGACTCAAACTGTAAATTAGATTCAGCAGCAAGACACCACTGGTCTGTACATCATCACCATCTCCATCTCCATCCACACTTTATCACATCAGCATGTCTGCACACACTAAATATAGAGTCATATGATAAATGATTCTTATATCAGGACAGAAAAATCTGAATGTCTCTTTGCTTACAAAATGTTAGTTTGCACTTTCTCCGTTTTTCCAGGACAGCAAGAAACCCTGAAGAGTTATCAGCAGTGCTTATAATATGGTGGGTATTTATATTAAACTGTGAAAATATTCTTTATCTCCTTTTTTTCTCTGTTCAAATCATATCTTTGATGACCGAGTGCACCTACCCCTTGATTGACAGCTACATTGAAGTCATTGGCCAGCGCTCCCATCAATACGACATTAATGGATGGGTGCTGAGACGACGTGTTTGGTTGGGAATCTTCTTCTGCGAAACAAGACACAGAACAAGGTTTTAAAATGAGAGTGCAGATGGAGGATTCAACATTCAGATCAGGATGATGAGGCGTTCAGGTGATGATCTCTGTCATTTATGACAGATACATATTTGTAATCATGAATTTTAAAACATTAAGTCACAAAGACAGAGAACTCAGGTTGAGGCTATGAAACCCTATGAACTGACCCTGCGAAAACTAGGTAAACTTTCAGACACTGTTCTAAAGTGATTACAGTCTCCAGGGCAGGAATTACTTTGTCTCACATTACAACTATACAGTGTTTCCATTAGGCTAAATTGTAAAAAAAAAAAAAAAACACTGGTTATAATTACTCAGATGATAACCACATTTATCTTGCTTTGTCCTAAAGTAACAACAGTCAAATTCTGTGGTATATAGGAAAACCAATAATTAAAGTCCCTAGCTCACCTAATGCTTGTATTTTCTCTATTAAACACATATAATAGTAGTAGTATAATAGTATTTACACATTTCTGTTACAGAGTGTTGCCTATTCTGTGCATTTTGTGGGCTGTACTGGCCATAATGTAGAGTGTCAAACACCAGGTTTTACACTAGGACTGTTAGGGCTGTCACTTCCAATGAATGAGAAGTGAATGTAATTTGTTTGTAAAATTGATGTGGTTCTGTTCATTAGAGGTGCCTCCAATGCCTCACTGTAGTGACTGATTAACAGAGCAGTAAATCAGTTGCATTTTGGCATCTGTGCTGTTGAATCCAAAATGCTTCCACACATTACTTCTCAGATGGCTTAGTGTCATGCGTATCTGTTCAGCACAGCTCACTAGTTTTCTCCATTTTGTGGTAACAGAGAATAACACACAGTCTTGTTTACTGGACAATAGGACATCAACAGATGAGAGTGACAGTGGAGTACAAGACACAGCATGTTGCAATTAAACATTGAGGAGTCAGAATTTAGTCAGATCATTCCAGTTTGAATTATTGATTTTCTCCCAAACCTAACCTAACCTAACGTGACATCTATTCTAACCCAGCTATAACACATAGGTCCTCTACATATCCTTTACTCAAACATAATAGGGGAACTATGTGTGTTGTGTTCTGACCACAGACAAAACACAGGAGTTCTCATCAGTCTGAACGAAATGGACTAAATTAAACACATCAGCACGAACAAAGTCTGAATCCATCTCTACAGAGCCTTTAGCAACGACAACAAAAGAAACGTAAATAGGAATTCCACAACGCTCGAGCAGGTCAAAGACTGTACCAAAACGCAGAGACAACAACAACACAGGAAAGGTGGATCTGCTCATCCTGCTGCTGGAGACAGGGAGGGTGTCAGAGTTTAAATGAATGGATGGAGGCATGTCCCCGCCACAATAAGAGCCTCAGCTTACTGTGGCTTTTCAATTGGCCTGCTTAAAGATAAGAAGGCCACAGACAAGACAACAATGAGACACAGTGGCGTCCGTCTGTTTCTACAATACAGAGCAGCTAAACAGCTTAACACACACACACAGTCCTAATACATCCACACACATACAGTGAAACACTCCACACCATCAAGTCTGCAGTACTAAGCATCTTAGCCTCTTTTAGGTTCCTAGCTGTTTTCAGTAAACAGGCTGTAATCTACTGTACATCATCAAACCTTTGTAAACCCATACATGCAAAGTGTCAATATTGACCAACAGCAGCAAATGTTAGCATACTGTACGTACAGTATATGTATATATAGGGACTTTCCCGTTTTTTGTGGCCACCGAAGTTTCTCCTGCACACTTAACAGCCCATTCTGATTCCCATGTCCTCAAATACAGATGCCAGAGGCGTTCAATCTTCACCACTGCACTGGTCCTTTAAAGATGAAGATATGATCAATGTTTTCACTTTCACATTGGATTGTTGATCTTCTTTAAAGGAGCATCTTCAGCTGTCGCTCTAATCATGATAGGAATTTGTAAAAGGTCTGAAATAATACTTTGTCAGGTCTCTCCAAAAGACAACAAGCAAACAACTTTTAAAATGCTTGTTCTATCGAGTTCAAAGCGATCAGGGTAGTCCACTTTGCTTGCTTGCTTACTTTTTTGTCCGTTCTCTGTATAAATATGACATAATATCATAGAGCTCCGAGTGCCCACAGATGGCTACAGTAACAACAGTGCAACTGATAAATCCACTTTATAATCCCAAAAGTTTAGAAAATATATATTAATTAAACACTATAAGTTGAGCTTTTAAAGACTGAATTCAAAACTTCTAACCCAAGTACACAAAGAGATGATGTGAGTGACAGGCTGCTGAATGGATTCCTTGTAGCAGCAGTGCCCTTTAAAGTACAACAACAGTGAACTCACTTTTACATCTGCAGCAACCTGCTCTGAAAACTAATTTATAACACAGAACCCAGCAGGGACAAATGCAGGTACAACCGGACAGCTAACACAAACACACACACAGACAAAAACATGTTGAGAGTTACCTTGGATGACAGCTTTCAGGATGAAGTTGTCAGCCGCTAACGACACCAGTGGACCTTTTCGAACCACTTTTCCCTGGAAAAAAAAACAACAAAAAAAACACTAAAAGCCTACAGACAAACTGAAAAGCATTTAGCATTTAGCTCTGACTGAAGCTCTGCAGAATTTCACTGAGGGTCTGTCAACTGATCAAAGCCACATCAGAAAACTGAGCAGTGTTGATGAGCGCCTCAGGGAAATGAGCTGTGAGACAGAAGGTGGATTATTCTGCTGCTTTGGTTTTCATAAAAATATTCCTGCAGAGTGCTATTCAAGAACAAGAAAGTAGTCTCACATAAAGAAAAAGAGAAACTAGGTGGATGTGAACAGATGGTGGCAGGTTACAGATAAATGAAAAGGGAATTAAGACGAAAATTCATGGAGGAAAATACCAAGAAAACAGGAAAATGCATGCAATTCTCCACAGAAAAGATTTGGTACCTGTAAATGGCTGAGCTAAACATCTTTCAGCTTATTTTTTTCCATAAAATGACACATATTTGAATTCCATTTTGAATGTTTTTTGTTTGTTTTTTCCCCAATTACCTTTTGCACAAACAGCCATAACAGCAAAAGGCAATAAGGGCTCCATTTTTGTGCCAATGACCAGCGCAACGAACACTTTAATGGTTTGTTATTATTCTTTAAATTGGCTTTGCCCATCTTTGTGGTATTGCCCAGCGCAGCCTCGTGGCACAAATGAGGAAGTCTGATTCAAATAAAGCCGCGCTAAGTGAGCTGTTGGTATTTTGGTGTAAATTGGGTCATACGCATTGTGCTGAGGAATAGACATCTCAGAACCAGGTCAGGATTCAGAGACAGATAAATCTACAGTTTGAGTTCAAAAACTACAGAAAGCAGCTTTGTTGCAGGTCTTTGTCTTAGTAGTTGGTACGGTGATCAGCAGTAAGTAAGTCCATAAACAGTTATAGACTGAATGTATCCAAAAACTAACGAGTAGCCAGTGCAAAAATTGTAAAATAGGTGATGTGAGCTCTTTTCTTTGTTCCAGTTAAAAGTCTGACAGCATCATTCTGACTGAGCTGTAACTCTTTTTCTGAGGAGACATGTGAACAGTGCGCTACAGTAATCTGGCCTAAATCAAGTGCTAAAAACATGTTTAAGTTTCTCTGCATCTCTGGGAGACAAAATAGGTCTGCCTATTCTGTAAATGACAGAACACTGTTCTAGTTATGGTCCTTACATAAGATGTGAAAAGTTAGACCAGAGACGTAGTAGTATGCATGAATACAGTAGATACAGTAGATACAGCTTCTGTCTTCACAAGAAATATCAGTATTATCAGTCTGATTGTGTACAAAGAGAGCCTCTCTGATTACGAGCTGGCTGTAAACAAACCTCGACAGTTTTGTTGGCGTAGTCAGTGCTGGTGCTGATGAGCGTGATGGGAATCCTGGTGAGGTGTGTTGGTACGTGGGCGCCTGGCACCGTACCCTCTGACAGCACACGGACAGGCATAATGTCAAATTGACCTGAGGGACATGAATTAAAAAAATGTCATTAATTTCTGACCCCACAAACTGTGGTTAGAGTTCAATCTGGTGGGTTTAATGGGTCTGATTCTAGGTTTGTGAATAATGACGTCACCATGGAAACACCTGAAAATGTTCACTTCATATTCATCTGGTTTGGACAGATCTGAATGTCAGTGGTTTCAGGCTTTTATCTGTTGTCCGTCTTCACACCACTGCTGACAGGCACGGACCCGGCCTGTGATCTGTGGTTTTAAGGTCTTTGGTTTGAAGTTCAGTCAGACTGTCCTCCACCACAGACGACTCATTACCAGGATGAAACCTCTGACGGGAAACACCAGATCCATGTCGACAGCACGGCGGGAGGGTTAAAGTCTGTGAGGCGTTTCAGGGAGAAACCCAGGAAAGTGTTGGCCGTGTTCCCAGCAGGTAGCATGTTGCTTCCTGTCAGAGCTCGTTAGTTTGATTTCCGGCAGATTTGACTGGCGAGTCCCTCGGTGGTACCTCGTCGACCGAGGACGGCAGAGTGGGAACAGCCTGCGAGGCAGACGAGCTGTTCACTCGGCCGTACAGTCAGCTGCTCAGTCAGGCAGAAAACCCAGCCAGGAAAAAATAAAATCCAATAAACCTCTCTGATTTAGACCAGAGGGGAGGAGCCTGAGGTCTGAATTAGAGCACAATGAGTGATTCATTCCTGAGTTCAGAGCTGCTCTGTGTAAAGGTACTCCAGACCATTTCTGGATCTGACCTACAGCTGCTACAAGTCACAGTCTGTCTGCCCCCAAAAACTAGCGCCTGACCGATTTATCAGAGCTTACGTTTCCGATACGCGCTGCTATGAAAACAGTTTTACAAATATAAACACTGACAAAAAGTAAGCAGCACATGTAGCAGAGTGCAGTGTGACAGCTGGCAGTGGAGTTATAGCAGTGTCTTCACATTAGGTAGCTTAACAGTTTGTGAAATACATTGCTGAAAAGTTAAAGTAGTTAAAAGTCAGTTAGCTAAAAAGTAGTAAACATTTTAAAAACTTAAATCAATTAACTCGCTCGTTTTACACATAAGTCTTGCAGTGACTGCGTTCACTATCTGGGTTCATTGTACAGTTCATCAGTTGTTCTGTACTGTTATTTTTATGCGTTGAATATAATATAAAATATCCAGAAATTAAAATACATAGTGATGGGTGTCAGTTTACTCAATGATAGAAAAGAGGTCCATTAAGGAAAAAGGTTGGGAACCATTGCATTAGGTATACTGGACAGTGTTCAATAATATCGAAATATAATCCTGAAGTAAAAAGTTGCCTTTCACTCATTAATAACAGCTACATAGTTGGCCAGTTATGGTAGGGATGACAAACTGCTGGTACATAAGTTGTTTTATGTAGGAATAGTGATGTTGATGTTGACTGCTGACAGGAACGCTTTTTAGTTAGAGCTTATAGGGTGATAAGCTCAAAACTATTACATGATTCATGTGCTCTGTGCTTAAAAGTTTAATGAGAAATTTCAACCACTTTGTCCAAATGTTTCATTTTGGCCTTCAAATGAACATTATTTAGAGACATCGGATACAATCTGCTGCCAGTGATGTTTGCTATTAATGAAAGACAAATTACTGATTCAATTATAGATTTATTAGCTTCAGAGCTTAGGTAGTGTGGGTATTTAGTCAAAGGAGCACCCCGCCCTAACCAAGATGCCATGCTGTAACCTATAGTATCATTAAATCCCTCAGGAGACTCCTGTATTTCTGTGTTCAAAGAAATCTTTCAAATGTTGATTTGCAGTGATGACAAATACTTGTGGAACCAGTGGCTCCTCCGACTTTGCATCTCTCCAGGCCACCCCGTAGCCAGGGACAAAATCCCACCTATAAATAAATAAGAAAATCCCGACACCTGGACCTGGTGGACCTTACTTGTACCTGCAGAGAGCCGACTTGTAGCCTCCTGTTGCTGGTTTGTTTGTCAGCTTCATGTAAATGAATGGTACAGGCTGAGCAGTGAGTCAGAGTCCCTCCCACAGAGCAGCAACATATCAGACACCACCAGCCAGCTATAAGCAGTCTGCAGATCCCCGCGGTGGGACAGCAGCTGATCCCTGCCAAATGACGGCCGGGCCACCCCGAGCAGAAGGCGGCCTTTCTGCACCTCGGAGCTTCACCGTAACCCACCGCTCAGCCGCTCCGAGACACTCATTAACTCAGAGGGTAACTGAAGTTCATCCCAACAACATTGTTCATGAGGAACAGAGAGGCTGAGAGGGACAGAGGATAGATCTCCAAACAGCAGCTCACTGCTGAACCATGGGCTCAGTGCAGCAGTTAGGACTGCAAACCACACATGGCAGTTGGGGTGGGATGACGCTCCACAGTCATAAAGACTGAAGTATCGCTGACCTGTTCCCTTCAAAAGACAGTGTGACCTCTTGAAGTATTACTGAGCAAGACACAGTGTCCCTATCAGCTCAGTATGTCTAAGTCACATTTATTGATGGCTTTAAATGTATTTAATTCATAAATCTTATTTAAAATTACTGCAAAATACAGCTAAACCATTCTGATAATTATTGTCTATTTGTATCTTAAAGGACCGGTGTGTAGGATTTAGTGCCATCTAGCGGTGAAGTTGTACATTGCAACCATTTTAATACAGCTCAGCCTGTCAAGCATGTAGGAGAAAACCTGCCTAGCGCCAGTGTTTGGTTTGTCCATTCTGGGCTACTGTAGAAACGTGGCGGTTCAATATAGCGGACTCAGACCCTTTCCCTCTGTAGATAAAAGCAGCTCATTCTAAGCCAACAAAAACACAACTATTCTTACTTTCAGGTGATTATACACTAATGAAAACATACCAATAAATGCTAATAGTGTTAACATTTAGAGAAGACAATGGTGACAGTAGCATGTTCACAGCAGCATGAGAGTTATAGCACAGGTCTGGAAACTAACTTTTTCACCAACTTCCCAAAACATACAAATCGCTATCATCGTTCTACAGCATTTTTTGTTTATCGGCCTCATGAGCACAGGGATCGGCAGACAGATTAATCGGTCTATCTGTAATCTAAAGAGCATCAGTAAAACTTCAAGCGATGAAAAACCTTGCAGAGAGCATGATGGAAATATGGCATTTATGTTTGTTTCATATATTAATCAGATATATACGTCATTGGTCGACACATTCAGAGGTTAATGTACAGTTACAAACACAAACAAACACCACCACAGTACATGCCTCTCTCCCAACATCCACTGAGACACAAACTGAACTCTTGACTCACATATTTAATAGCTATTTTGAAATCTCCAATATTCCAGAGTACACTCAATTATGGACAGAGGTGAACTCCAACACACACACCGCAGTGTTTGCTGCAACTTGAAGGTTCATTTTCTACAACATAAAACCTCCAGCTGCCACAGGTGTACGCTCTAGCAGTTTCACCTATTGAATAAATAAAAAATAAACTCACATAGCTCAGCAGGTGATTTCAGGGGTTTTTATCAGGTCAGGAGCAGCTTGCGAGTGCAGAGCGGAGGGAGTGTGTAGAGGGGGAGCAGCTCTGCAGTGCTCAAAGGACCCGATTTATTAAAACCATTTAAAACCACTTCAGCACTGAGTCACAGGCTCTCTGTGGACGAGAGCAGAAAAAAAAGATTAACAGACAGACAGACCCTGGACACAGACACTCATGTTTAAACTGTCTCATACTGGATCCAGACCTCTGAATCACAGACTACAGCTCAAATCTGCTCTAATCTTTTAATATTAACACTAATATCTTCATATTTTTATATTGCTCTAATATATTTATATCAACAATGGATGAAATAGCAATGCATAATGTGACTTTGTCACTTGTACTGACAAAACACAGACAAACTCTGCAGTTCCCCTCAGCTTTATGGGGCCTTTCAGCCTGTTTCAGCTCGTACTTTTGGTTTTACTGTTTGGTTCAGTCAGTGTACGTCTGCAGCTATCGATTGATTAAGTAATCCAGTATCAAATTATCCCAAACTTTAGACACTTTCTGATATTTTCTCTGGCCAGTCACCCTGCTATTTTCTCTCACAAAAGCATGTTGTGCAACTGTAATAACTTATTTCTTATTTCGAGCAGTTTGACAACAGGGAATCCAGTACAGAGCTGATTTACAGCAGCTCTGACCGGGGCTCTAGATCCAGGGACGACAGAGAGACACGATGGGGACACTAACAGGGAATTGAACTTCTAACCCTGACAGTGTTAGTGCCTTGTTGAAGTGACGCTAAATGTAGACCAGAATGAGCATTTAAACTAAAGAATATATTTTTCTTTTCATGTTGTTTCATCTGATTCATCATGGAAAATATTCAGTATTTCAGAAGAACTGGAGGAGGTACAATGATACACGGTCTGTGTAGTAGTGAGGGTTTTTATCTATGCATCCCCATAAATCATCTGTCTTATCTCCTCACCCCCGGGTTGAAAACACAGATCTAAAAAGCTTTATTTCCAGGCAGACAGGAGGAGCTTTTTCTGCAGTAGGAATCAGAGAAATCCTCCCAGAGGGCTGTGAGAGATGGACCTTCTTTCACCACATGCAGCTGATAAGACGAAGCTGACCCAGGTCCAATAATACAAACATCACCACTGTACACAGGGAAACAGAACAGCCACAGCATGAACAACATCAAAGTTAGGGCTGAAGCTATTATTTTCATTATCATTCATTAACTGATTAATTGTTTCATCTATGAAACATCAGAAAACTGTGACAAATGCCCTCAATCACAGTATCCAAGAGCACGAGGTGGCATCATAAAATGTCCATTTTCTCCAGCAGTTTGAGTGAAAAATTACTTGATGATTAATTGTTTATCAAAACCGTTGTGCGGATTAAGTAAAGATAACATAAGACAAGATGTTCTCAGACATCCAGCTGAGCTTAATTTGAAACACATTTTGAACTACTTTACACAGTAGACAGAGAATCTTCTATGATGTGTCTGTCCTATTTTCCAGAGAAAGAATTAGCAGGTCTTGATGATGATGGTTTTAGTAGATGGCGTGAGCCCAGAAGGTCACAGTACAGGTTCCTGTGCCACAGATACAGCCGACACAGGTCTACTGATGTTAAAGTACATGTCTGGCTGGTCAATATCTGACTTTAATAATGCATGGAATGGATGGGATGGAAAAATGAAAGCCTGTACTGAGATCAATTACTCATTGTGTTTTCCCAATCAACATGTGTGTGAAATCTGGAATCAGCCAATTCATTCTTAAATTATGGCTTAAAGCCTGTGTCCTAACCTAAAGTCACAGTCTTCTTTGGAATTCTGTTCCTGAGTTATGGTATTGAATAATGACCAAAAAAGTGTTTGTCAAAGCTCATTTTGAGTTTGACCTTTAATCACCTAATTCTAATCAGTTCATCTTTGAGTCCAAGTGGATGTTTGTGCCAAATTTGAAGGAATTCTCTTGAGGCGTCCCTGTAATATATCGCATTCGCGAGAATGGGACAGAGGGACATACGGAGGATGCCTCCAGACACGACTATCGCCGGTGCAGAGGCATAGAAA